CTTCTTTCACAGTTTAATGAACAGATCTCCCACCATGTCATTTTTGCATAGATTCTGCAAGAGGTTTTGCATAGGTCTCTACTTGATAAATGGAAAACTCTTTCTCCGAACTCATTAGAAGAAGGGCCGAATATTTTTCTCTCTGATGAAAAAGGTGCCATTACAAAAAGAAGGGAGGCAGCACAAAGAAAAAGATATAAGCAACATTTTACTGAATGTTTTAAATATTGATTACCCATAATGTGCCATGGTAGCTTCACAATAAAGGAAATTCAATTGTATGTATGAAACTCAATAGCAGCACAAAACTTAAAACTTCCCCTAATATTATAGCGATTTTCAACTGATTGCAGGAGTGCTGAAGCAACAATCTTAAAACCCTAACAGACAAAACTTTTAAGTAACTTCAGAGGGAATTTCATGTAATAAAACTTGTTTCTTTTTTTATGATTCTGTAATACCTCTGAAACGCTACTACCACGTTTTAATGGAAGCCAAAGTTCATGTCAAAATGTTAATTTCATTGTAAAACCAAGACAGTCGCGAAATGCCATTTGCATAATCATATGATCACACTATCACATTTCCTTTTTTGGGTGGAGAATACCTATTCGATTGAGTCTGTCATATCAATTTAAGATGCAGAACCTGTGTTAGTCCAAGTGAGTGAAGTTTCAAATGAAGGGACAGTAAAACTGGTTACATGGAAGGAGAAATATGGACACACTCATAAGAAGTCGATGGTGGAAGACACTGTTGCTTTACCTCTGATGGTCATACTACCATCAGAGGTGAATGATTTTCAGTTATACTCTAGGGACCACACAAATTACAGGAGAGAAAATGATTTTAAATCATTATTTATATCATTTATTTTCACATGACATGACCTTGCTTCTTCTTTCTTTCCCATTGATTTTCCTCCAAAAAACTATCATAATAGTACTAGCAACAAATAGAATAAATAGTAAAATAAAATAATTTAAAAAAACAAATAAACCAAACCGAACTCTTTCTAGTGATAGAAATACTCTCAGACATGGCAGAATGTGAAAACTTAATTTGCTTCGTAGAAGGAGCTGTTACTAGATGAGTCTTCAGTAGCTGACCCACAGCGTTATCTTGACTAAATAGCTGTTTGAAGATAGAAGTAGCTAGATGGAAACAGTTGTCCTCAAGGTGACCTAAATACCACTTGCTGTATTCATTAAGGACATCACTCAGAGTGCTGTGTTAGGATTCATGGGGTTCTCTGCTCAATTTGATCATTTTTAGAAGAGCACGAGATCACAGATCAGATTCATCAAAGCTGGGGATAAAAGAGATTTTCCTTTGTACAACTTGGATGTGAAGCTATTTTAAATTGAACAGTATTTTAATAAATTTAGTTTTAATTTCATTAATATTTTTGCATTTTGTAGTGGATGGGTGGATGACTGCTAAAACAAATTATATGAAAAGTTATGTACTAGTCTCTGTACAGTTTTCAATTTTATACTGGAATTTTTGTGTTGTTAGTTGGTAGAAAATATTAATAATTTGTGACTGTCTTAATAAAATAATAACAGGGCCTCTTAATACCAAGTTTTTTCCATACATGATGTGATTTGAATAAGATGATAGACTGCTGTTTGGGCTTTTAAATTAATAAAAGGACAAGATTACTCTAATTAGAGCTCTTTCAGGATTCTGTCATCTCAGTTTATGAGGACCTTTAATTGTTTAGACCAAGGAACCAAAATGTAAATGAAAATCGTGACTGTCAAAGTTTTAGTGGGAATACAGTGCAAAGAACGAAATTTGGAGTTGGAGCACACTTGAAAATGTCAGGACCCAATAAAACCTGGGAGTGTCTGCACTGAAAAACAATCACTTCTCTTTTGGAACCCATTATCTCCATGACATCGGGAGTTTATTATAAAAGATGATTTACTTGCACGGGAGACAGCTCTTCTGTGAAAGTAAGTTACAGCAGTTGAAAATGTTTTATTCAGCACTGATAGGCTGTTTTTATATGTATGGACTCAGTACTACAGTTTCCTTTGGGATTTGTAGCTCACATGTGTCCTTCTGTCATTTCCTCCAGAGACTGATTTGCCATCTAAGCTATTTTCCCTATGTATTTGGACTACAGCATGTTTGGGGGAGTGGAAAAGGGAGAAGAGTGAGTGAACAGCAGAGATTCAGTGGGAAGCCCAAATTGGAGAGTACAATTCCTAAACCATGATAATAAGACAGCCCATTAAGGAGGTTGGGGGCAGAACTACTTTTGTATGTTTTATACTTAGGAAACATCTTGATTTTTCCCAATATGAATGAAAATTCCAAACACTGACAGTTCTATGCAGAAAGGTGTCTTATTCTCCTCCTCCAAAACATCATCAAAAGTGATGGTTTTTTAACACCTTATCAGAAAAAAAGGTATAAAATGATCTCTTTTTCTGGCAACTCTAAAAGGACTGAATTTTCTAAACTTGAGATGGAGAGTCAAATTAGAGTATTTCTGTTATAGGCACAGAAGATTAAAAAATAAAGCATAACAAGCAAGTAATTTAAAATTTTCTTCAAACTGCTTCTTACCATGGTATAATTAGACATATATTTACTAATTGCTGACTATTCCCAAGTTTACTGGTGCTTAAATTACCGTCTGATATGTCAGTAATGTTGATGCCAAATTAAAATGCCCTCTGAATGTTCAATTAACAGACATCTAATCTACAGGCTTTTCAGGCAAGTACAAGTATAAAGAAGCAGCAGTTGATTGTAAATGCATTCAAACCATCGTTACCATTGAAGATATTTGTCTATCAGCTGACATGAACTTTGAAAGGAATGTTCACCCAAATGTTTCACTGCCTTTGAACACATGTAAATTATTCTATTCCAACTACCAGTTAAGTAAACTTGTGCACAGAGAAGTCCATAAAAATAAATGTCTTCCAGCATTTTAAAGAGAAAATGGCAGGAGCCCTGTCCATCAGAGGACAACAACCCTGATTGTTTATCTAATTGAGATAGATTGTGGAAGAAAGGGAGGAGAGCAAGATACAACTTTACTTAAGACATCTCAGTACTATATCTACCGCTTTCCAAAGCAAGGCTGAGAATCCACAATGGGAGCTAGGCATGTAAATGGCATTAACACCTTAGTTCAATGTTTGCATGTTTAAAAGAATGTATGAAAGGCTATCAGAGGAGATTGCCTTTTAGATTGCTATTCTCTAACAGAGATCACAGATGAGAGCCTGTGGAAGAGTATGTGAAACAGTATAGTTAAGTATCCATGAATAAGACATGAGGGTGGGTGAGAAAGACAAGAAAATAAACACAAAATAAATGTCATTAACTGTTTTATCTTTTGATAAACTAAAAGCAAGTGGAGGTTTTTCATCTCTGGTAAACATGATGGTTATGGTAAACATTATTTTTTCAACCTACTCGGACAACTGATGGTCTGATGTCAAAATCTTGTTGTGGGATGCTACTTTAAAGGTTAGGAACAGGGAAAACACCACATTTATAATAAATATATTTACAATATAGTCTTTAATGAAAAGTCTCTTTCACCAGTCAAGCTATTTTCCTCAGTCTTTAGCTGACAATACAGGTACTGAATTAGTCTATGTAATGTTCCGAACCCTAGGTTTAAGTACTCAGAAATCATTCATTCTGGCCTATCCTGGTAATTTTCTGCTTTTGAATCTTTGAATCATACCTTGAACATTAGTTTAACCAAAAGGTATTTTGGTTAATATGTATATACAAGGCACACAGTTCACTGCACTCTTAAAGTTCATAATTTTACTGCCAAATAAACTTTATGTTTGGCTTACTGCTCTTTGGACCTAGGTTTTTAATTAAGCACAGGTTTTATGGTTGCAACCATAAAAGGGGTAAATGTGCACTCATATTCCCTTCCTCAAAATTTCTGTCATTTTTCTGTCTTATGTCAAGCAAAATTGCCTTCTATAAAGAGTTTTGCTAGCACAACTTCCTTAGTATCTACAGTATTGTGTAGCATGATAAGGGCTCATTTACATAGATGAAGCTAAATTTCCCTTCTTTATTTGTTTTCAAAGCCACTGGGAGCTATGTCCATACACCTGATAACACTTCTTTAGTTATTAGACCTTAAAGAAAAGAGTTGTGGGAAAAGCAACAAACACTCTGTGAAATTACAAAGCTTTTCAGAGAATTCATAGTAGGCATTTTCAACAACTGAGACATATTGGAGAAATAATTCTTCAGAGGCCGTGGACAATTTACAGCTGGAGCATAAAGGGAACAGGTGAAAACTATTCCATTCATCTCAGCCTCTGCCCAGTCAGGAATTGCCATATTTTCCTCAAATACCTGTGTAGTTCATACCTTTTTCTGGTCACTCCACACCAATGTTCAACAGAAGGAGGCAGTTCCGTGGCAGTACTAACAAGCAAGATCTTGGACCAAATATTTGCTGGCTGCAAGGTGATGACAATGCACGGGTATCAGGGACTTTCGGTAAGTGTATTTGCAAAATATGTTTTCACTAGTTTCTTAGGTATCCTTAACAGTGAGGAGTAGATTCCTCAGGCAGGTAAGGATGGAAGAGTCATAGAATATCCTGAGTTGGAAGGGACCCACTAGGATCATCAAGCCCAACTCCTAGCTCTGCATGTGCAATTACAGACTTTGTTTCTAGAGGAAGCAAAGGATCAGTCTTATATAATGCAAATATGCCAAATTCACTACAAATCCACTGACCCCCATCACCCTTTTAATGGTTGATTAGTTAGCATGTTTAATAACTTTATTCCTATTCTTTTAATGGAATCTTATTAATTAATTTTCTAATGGTCTGTTATTAATACGGGTTCTATATAACAGCCAAATCCTTATCCCACAGTTTGAGTTGGTTTATGCTTTCTTTTATGACGCTCTCTTAATTAAATTATTGCCAGATGCTTTCGGACTTACCTTCTGTTTTTTCTCCACAGCCTGAAGTCTTTAGGTTATTGAGCCACACTTGGTAGCTCTGAAAGCTGCAATTGCTTTCGCCTATGTCATGATGCTGCTTAAATAGTCCTATCTCTCGAGACTGCTTTTGTTGCCTGATGGGTAAAGCATTTAGGTCATCATGGTTGTGAAAGCACATTGTATAATGACTCAACAAGTAAGTTATATTTGCTTTGACTAGACTGAAATATGTGGAATGCTCAAGCATGTTTAGCCTAACCATTTTGCTTCATAAAATATTGAAGAGCACAAAGGATTCTGCCAAAAGCAACTCTTCTCTTCTCCTAAGGGGTCCTCCTTAGATTTGTTATAAAGATGTGGACTGAATTTGATTGAATTAAGTGGGTCAGGGATCAATAAACAATAATGCAGTAGAGGAATGAACTCTTATCTTTCCTTGAGGCATCTCAAAAGAGGTATTTTTCAACAACAAAGACACAAGTTAAACACATAGTATTCAGTGCCTTGATTATCAAAGGTTTGTGTTCGAGAAAATACCATTATGTAAGTATGAAGGGAGGAAATCATGGGAGAAAAAGCCCACAGTGAAAAAGGTCTATTGAAACAAGAGCTTTATGGACATTTGCTGTGTGCACTTATGGCACTATATCAATAAAGTAATAACCTAGAAGGAACTGCCTCCCATTTTCAAGAAATATAGAAAACCATGTTCTAAAGCAGCTTGCATGTATAATAAAATATAATCTGTGATGGCACACAATATATTGAACAGAAAGGCTGGAAATAAATCCTGATACCCTTATTTTGCTATTCAACTTTTATCTGTACATTTCTGAATATTATTAAAATGGGATATAAAATTGTATTTATTTCTCTACAGATCAGCTGGTCTACTAATGAAATTCATGTCCACTTCTTTTCCCAACTGTTCCTACAAATGACATGAGATTCCGTTCTCGTTCTCATGAGATGCAGATATGTCTGATGTGCTTCACACTGAAGTACAGTGGGCTTCAATGCTCTGACTGGGCCTCAGTACATGTTGACCTTCTTTCAGTGCAGGAAATCTAAAATGGGTTTCCAGCAAAGCACAATATTGTGCTTGTTTGACTGCGCAGGGAGTCACTGATAGGAAAAAGAGAGCTGCCCAGTCCTCCGAAAATCACCACTATTTGTTACAACAGATTGGTCTGTCCAAAAACCCTAAAAGTCATGATACAGCTATAGGAAAACTCCATCAGTTTCTGGAGACATAGATCAAGTGCCTGGATGTGTAGATACCATGATAGCTCTAATTTTGAAGTCTGGGTAACTTCTTGTCTTCATCCCCTTGAATTTAAGGGGAATGGCACAAGAAAGAGAGAAGAAAATTCCTCAGGTGAGGCACCCAGCTGTTTATAGGAAGGATTCAAGAGCCCTTATCAAAATAATAGTTTTGGGTTGATGTCTGGTTGAATACCACCTGATAGGTTTTCAAAAACCTAAAAATATGCTTGCCCAACCTATATGTGTTTCTGGAATCATTATGCTGGTCTGGTTGACTTGCTGTTTCTCCTCTCTTAACTTGTACAAATAAGATTATGTCAGGCTCAGTTCTAAAGTCTCAAATTTCAGGTTTGTTTTTGGTTTTTTGGTTTGGTTTGGTGTTTTGTTTTGGGTGGGGTTTTGTTTGTTTGTTTGGTTTGGGGTTTTTTTGTGTTTGTTTTTTTTTAATCTGATTTGAAAACTGGATTGAATTTTTCTTTTAAAGGATGGATCACTCTTAATCTCAGAGAAGAACAATTTTTTTTTTCCAAACAAACAGTAATAATTAATAATACATTTGTTCAGGCAGAAAACATGCATGGAAAATCTTTATGATGAACATTTAGAAGGTTATTAATATAGTCAACCCTTACATAATTAATACTATTGAATGCATCCTGCTACTGAATCTGTTTTTGTATTTCTTCAAATCCACAGGCTTATAAGACATAAAAATTCTTTAGCCATATAAGTATGTATGTACAATAGATACATATTTTGCATATTCTGCATTTTAAATATTAAAAACTATTTCATGAGATAATGCACCTCACTGCACACCACAATAACACTTTTTTGTCATACTTTTACACAAGTGCACAATTTTGCAAGTGAAGTTGGTGGAAATATTAAACAACCTCTCAAGAAATCTATATCCTCTAGAGAGGAAAAAAAGCTCACCTCCCTGCCCCCCCTGCCTCCAATCTGGAAAGCAGGTCTGCTAGTGTCAATCACCCCAGCCAAAAGAACCACCCTCTCCCTCCCTGGTTCAACATCCCTCTTTGATAATGATGCAGGGGAAAAAATAATTAAAAAAAAAAAAAAAATCAATACCACTTGTTTTTTTAGAACAAGTAAACTTATGGCATACATCTAGTAACTAATTATTGGATTTTGCACTCACAAAACTTGCTTTGTCTTTCAGTCTCTGCCTGAAAAGGTTTTTCCTCTTTCTTAATGATGAAAGTTTAAATAATTTTAAGTAATAGAAATGGGAAGGAATCAAGCCTGTGCTTATCTTTTCTAATGCAGAGCTGCAGTGCCATACTTCCCAGTAGTGCCACTGGAATTACCAGAAAATATGTGGGACAAGGAGATCAAGAGTGATACCTACCAGAGCAGGTAACAAAAGTAGTCTCTAGCTAAGAATTTTTTTGAAGAGCAGGAATCCCCATTTGAGTGCATATTTTTCAGTTTTCTATATTTTTTCCTAATCATTGTCCACTTAACCTCCAGAGTGATGTCTGCTGATTCTGCTATCAGAAGATAGACTTTTGACCTCATCTGACCCAGTTAGAGTATTTTTCACTTTCCATTACCAAAGATGTTGGTTCAGGACATTCATCATATCCTCAAACCCCACTGAAATCCCACAGTAAAAGATGTGGATTTACTGAGCTACCACCTTCATCAGGAATCAGAGATGAATCAGAGCCACTTGTAGAGGCTGAACAGCCAGGTTTCCATCTTTCCACTGTGCAAAGTAGATTTTTCCTATATAAAATGCAGGACACCATACACCTTTCTGCTTAGTGAGAGGTCATTATTGAGATTTGCACATGCAGTATGTTAATTGCAAGTTTAGAAATTACTTTTGAAAAATATTTTGAATGCTTTGTTTTAGCAGACATTACAGTCTGTGGAACAGCTGATTTTCTAGGCAACAGTTTGAAAATTAGCAGTTATAAAAATCTTGCTTTGACTTCTAAAGTGAGAAACTTGCTATGGATGTCATTGAGAGAGAAGAAATGAAGTAAACCAAGATATAATTTCTATAATGTCACTCCTCTTACCATAGCCCACATTAGAAATGAGATGTTAGGATAAAGAACATCCGAAATATTACATGAAGTGAAGCATCTACAAATGATTACAAGGAAAAATTGACTTTATTAGAAAGATACGTACTTTCATCAGTGTTAATGAACTGTACATGAAAGATATGGATTTCAAAGAAATGATGGAAACTACAATGCTGAAGGAATGTAATAAGGTGTCAGGCTTTTTGCCACATATTCCTCAGTAGAAAAGTAATGACTTATATGGCTGGAAACTGTTATTTTAAGATTATTAATTTTGAAGCACTCTTAATTATTCCTAATAAAGTTAATTTACTGTGGGCACAAGCAAACAAACTGCTTAGTTCACTTTGTGTATATTGCTCTCTGAAACCTTCAATTGAGCTACAGTTGTGAGTGCCGAGTTAAATGAGTCTTCCCATAAACATGTACCAGTTGATTAATCAGCTTTCTTAATAATCACTTACTTTTACTATGACCACAGTGTTTGAAAACAAGCAGTCTGAGAACATTAGATTAAATTTGCCTCTCTGAGGCCATGAGTGTGATGGCTCACATTGTTGAGAAAGCACTGGTCGTAATAAAACCGTAGATGCTTATACTGGTCTTGTCTCTCCTTATGTGTTTTCCAGTAAATGCAAAAATTAAATATATCTGCAGCTGCATGACAAGAAATATTGCACACAAAAAGTATTTCTAGACCTCAAGAAAAACCGCCTATCTTTTCAGTTCATATATTGTACACACCAACTAATCAGTTTTATTCAAAACCCTTGACCCATTTCCTTTGAACTTCTTGGTCTCTTCTACTACTTACTTGTCATTTACGTGATCTTTCTCCAAAACACTTTGTCTTAAACTGTGAGGCTCTCTGCAGTGTTTGTACCATCCCTGACACAATCCTGAGGGGTTTGTGGGAGTCTCAGGTCTTCTCATCGTTGCCTTGACAGCCACCATGGAATTTACCTGTATGCTAACTCTGAATCTGTTGTTAGTTAGTACATTATGTTCCTGACCTCCAGATGTGCCTCCACAGCTTTGTGGAGAAGAATCAGGAACATTCCCATGGGCCAGTGCCCATATTCCAGAGTTCAGCACCACCACTGTGAGCAAAATAAAGGCCTGCGTGAATTCACTACTGAAATGCTTCTAAACTGCTGGCAAACCTGAGGACAAAAAAGGGTTTTTAACACTGAAATGCAAAGCTTAAGGAAACAGCTGTTGTCTCTGAAGATAGAGGCTGACAAATGAATTGGTGAAACAATTAGCCTTAAGGTGAGTACTTCACACCTTTCTTACAGGAAAGCTGACCTAATCTAACAGCCCTTCCAGGAAAAGGGAAAATCCTGTTGTTCCCCCTTCCTTTAACCTCTTTTTCTTACTCTCCTCTTTTTGGCACTACCATTCTCTCTTCTCCCCTCCCCAGCTGTGCCGGGCTGCACAACTGAGACTAAGTCAGCTCACCAAAGCTATCTGTAGAAGTGAATCATGGCCAGTGAAGCTGGTAAGGGAAGTAGAAGTCTTGGCTAAATCAGTGCAAGAGATTTACTTTCATTCTTCACAGTTTTATATATATATATATATATAAACACACACATACATATATATAAAAATGTTAAAATTGTTTCTCTATCATATTTACTTGTTATTGATCAGCCATTTCAGCTTAACCATTTCAGAAAAGCAAGATAAAATGGTCTTTTTGTGTTATTCTTGTCTTTTGCCTTCTGCAGATCTCCATAGCTATCAGATAATGTGGCTGTATATCAGTGTCCCTCCTGTTAAGCATATAATATAAAAGCTCCTTAATTTCTCATGTCATTTTCAATGACACAGTAACTGAAACAAAGCTGTTTACCTGCCCTGATAGGCCAGTTTAGTGGGAAACGGGCATTTTATCAAACTGTTTTTGAACAATGGATGGTGATAACAAATGCCAAAAGACATGACATAGAGGAAGGGCCTTTTCTATGAGTGAACACAGAAGTATGAAGTCCTGCTGATCAGGTTTATTGCTTGTGTGCTATTTATTTGCACGTGTTCATGGCAGGTGTCAAAGAGCACTGGAAATTCAGGCTCAGATCGTCAGATTTATTTATTCTATGGCACATAGTGTCATTCATACAGCTGTCACTTTTAATTGCTCGGTGCTGGTCACTCAGACATGTAGTGAGCAATAAGAAAGAAACCTGTCAACAAAATCCATCAAGAATGTGACTTTGGTAGAAGAGTTTGTTTGTTTAACTGCTGCTGTTTTCAAGTAAGTACAACAAGAAATCCTTAGACATGAAGGAGAAGGAAAACCTACAGTTACATGTAAAAGCTGATTACTGTTACTGTACAGAAAACCCTTTTAAAACCTAGGCTTTTATCTCTGTTTGTTTGTGGTTTTGTTTGTTTTTTATAAACTGTTGTGTGTCAGACTGGGAAGAAAAATGAACAAAAACACTTCACAGGGCTCAGCTAACAGGAAGGAATTTCAAATGCCATAGAAGAATTTTGAAAGAGCATGCCAAAATGTAGCCATGGATATTCACGGCTACTTCAAGAAAACATTGTTTATCAGTCTGTGGGTATCAAGGCCAGACCACATTGTTTCTTCTTTTTTTTCAGGGCTTTCAGTGGGAGACACTTGCACATTTACTCTTCATTCCCTGCACAGAAAAGGAGTACAAGAAGTGCTTGGAACAGAGAGTCAGAACTTCTGGGACAATGAATTGGCCCATGGGTGGCGCTTTCAGGCAAGAAACACCAGTAGCTACTGGTTAATTTGTAGAGCTGCAAAATTTAAAAATCACATCTTATCCACAAACGTTTTACCTCTTTTCTTCTGAAAACAATAAGAGGCATACAGAGGTCTCAAAGCGCCAATAGGTAACAAAAAAGAAAGTGATAATTCTATAAATGACACTTTTTTTTCCTTATAATCTTGGCTGACAAGACTGTTGAAAAGTGGTACTTTCAGGTAGGATGTAAGTAGGCTGTAAATCATTGTTTCATCTCACTTCACTGTTGAAGGAGCTAATCTGCATGGCAAAATAGCTGACAACTAGTTTAAAGTCCTGCAATGTAGTAAAGATGATCAGATTTTGTTATTTTCAAAGGGACACATTACATAGAGAGAGATTCTTCTCCCGTTGTCTCTGTTAAATCATGTGAGCAAGCATCAGTGACATGGTCTCTATCTCCTCCCTTATTAAAATATAACTATTAAGGCTGTAGCAGGATGGGAAAAATGGGAGAAAATCCCAGATCCTGAGAAAAAATGAGATTAAAAGAGCACTGAAGATTTGCATTGGGATAAAATGCCTGAATGCCCTTAAAAGTACTATTCACAGGAAGAAATGCAAATTGATTGTTGAATAACTTTAACAAATTCTAGTACCAAAATAATATGGGAAATTGCATGTGGGTCATTCTGCGTAGGAAGTGCAACAGGAGGATAAATAGTTCAATTTGGTATTTTTACTTTTGATGCAGGATGTGACCAGAATGGATGGATTGTAACAGCAGAAAAGAAGAGCTTAGTATATAAAATGGGTGGAAAATTCTGAAGGTTATCACCTGCAGCTCCCTTTAACCCTCAGCCAAATAACTGGAGACTGATCATCCAGCTTGGACTTAGCCATAAACCATTCGAAACATGAATAGTAATTTAAATGTAATTGTCCCTTGATTGCTGGCATTTCAGCTGTTTTTGTTGTTTTCCAATGGCTCAACATGAGGTTATTTGCATTTTCTATTTTATTTGTTTTTAAATAAAACTGATTTGTAAAGAATAAACTTTAGGAAAAGCCAGATTTCAGATTTCTTTTGCCCATTTTGAATTCTCTGCATACAGATTTTCATATGCTTTTGATTTATTTTTTTCACAGTCCAACTTTTATTAGTTTCAGTGAAGCGGCATTTTTGCAAATGAAAACTTTACTGAGACAAGATAAGCACTAAGAAAATGAGGAACATCTTTCCTCTCAAAAGTCTGGTTTAAGTGACTTGCTTTGAATCACACGGTAATCTGTGACAGATGATGATACAAAATACATTTTCTAAATTGGCATTACACTGCCTTAACTGTAGGAATAAAGCCCATTGAAAAACAGATTGCTGCTTCAGTCTTGGTATAAAACTGAAATTATAAAATTGCATGATGAATTGCTGAGTGGCTCAGAACAAAAGACTTCAACTAAATGAGAAAGAAAGTTCTCCCTGTATTTATTATTTATGGAAATAACAGTAATAATCTGACAAGAATTTTTTTTTAATAAAAAATTTTTATGCAAAGCAAATACCAATAATTTTAACTAATTTGGCCTTTTAGCTCCCTCAAGTCCCACATTTTTAAATTTTGTAGCTTAAAAAAGTAAGATGTAAGTCTTAGTCATTTTATGACTAAGTTGACATCCACAAATATTTTCTGGGCATTGGCCACCTTGTTCACTTTCTGAACATAAAAATTCAGGTTAGGATCACATAATTAATAACTTTATTTTAATGCCAATAGAAAAGAACCTTGAGTTAATGTTAAACATAAAGCTTTATTTATGGTATTTCCCAATTTTTACGTTGTGATTTTTCAACATTATTATCTCATTTTTTTTATCCCTGTGAAAAAGTAAAATAAACAACCACATATTTAAAGCTTCCTTTCCTGCTTAAATATAGTCATTAACATGCTGAAAATAAGGGCCTGCTTTCTCCCTTATCTCTGAAAGTAAAGAACTGATGACTAATGAGGAATTATTAGTAATATGGTAATATCTATAATTCTGTCATACAAAGAAATTATAGGCTTTTATAATCATGCTTTCATGTTGTACAAATCATCACAACAATAAAAGAAGATAAACTTGATAAGTGTACTGACACACAGTAATGGCTTAAAAATATGTTAGAAGTAATGTATGGCAAGTGTGCTGTTTGTTATTGGTACATTAATATATCATTACAAATGTTCCTCCCAGTTCTCATTTGGATTAGATAATGAGCATTGTGGTAGACAGCAAGAAATAATTTTAATTAGCTAAACTGTGTGAAGAACAATTGACTTACTTGGACTTAGTGGCTGACATTTACAACCACTGCTGTACTACTACAAACTAGAAGGTAAGGACTGGAAGACTGGAATTACCTCTGATGCCAGCAATATATAGAAGAGCAGCTAAAGGGAAGATTTCAGCTTAAGTTTGAACTAAAAGTCATTACTTAGGCAATACTCCTACTGATCTGAATGGGAGGTTTTCATGAGTAATTTGGTGTTAATATAGGTCAACTCCAGCTTTACGTCATGGATCATATATAGTAAAGGATAATGTGTATAATCTGGATCTCTCATATCCAGTCTTGTTTATGGCAGCTATAAAGTGATAAAATATAGTGATACAAAAAGAGATAATTAATCAGACTATAAGGAGTTGCAGCTAAAGCTAACTTATTGCACAAATTAATAATTAGTAACTAAGGAATAGTTAATGGAAAAATACAGGAACACGAGTGTTGCTGCTCTGTCTTGTTTCTCAAGACTTCAGTAGTTTTAGCTATGTGCAAAGATGAGCATCTTTATTTCTATTTGTAACTTCTGGCAAATTAAAAAAACATTCTGAAAGGAAATCTTACAGAGCTCCTTTGGCCTGCTGAACCACAGGAAATGTTTTAGAAGCCTCATTACCTGCATTTCTGTAATATTCTAATGTATCTTACCATCTTCAGGGAAAGACATGCAAATTGATTTCTTTGCTGCTTTGGATACAGGGCTGTTTCAGCTGTGTATTTCCACCTCATGCAGTTTCCAAAACTTGCAATTAAGATTTTGGGTTCAACATCAAAATGTTCCAGCTTCCAAAAGAAAGGGACGATGGCTAGCAACCAGCTTTAATGTGGCTTAAGTACATTCAAAAGGCTCAGGGACTTCTTGTTACTTGAAACCTCTGGAGGGCTTACTTCTCATAGCCTTTCATTGTCACCTTATTCCACCTTAACACCTTTGTGTTAAAAATCCCAGCACTTCAATGTAATTAATTGTGCAAATGAATAATATCAATGTAGAGATAGCAGCCTTGGCCCAAAAGCAATGGCTGTATTTCGTGCACCCCCCAGAAGTGACTCTCCACCACCACAAGAGAATAAGGTCAACGAAAATCCCTCATTTCCACTTCAAATGAAAGCTATCTATAAAGAACAACTTTAGCCTGCAGTTTCATTCCTACTTTTAAAAGTCGTCAAGGAGAGTTCTGTTAAAATACTGTACAATGATATTAGCAATATTAATAGGAAATAATTAGGAAGAGAAATAATACCTTTTCTTAAACAGGTCCTGATATAAAGTACCAATGCTGCTAATGCAAAAGCTTAGACCTCTTGGTATGCAGTGCTATATTAAAAGAATTTTTATTAACTAATTCAAGAAAGAAATATGATGAATGTCTCCTTTCAGATTCTATCTTTTATTGCAGTAGTACCTGGTAATAGAAAGTGCTTCTGGCAATACTTATCTGCATACAATGCATAAAATTTTTAACACGTAAAAAGGTCTGTATGGAGGTTGGCTACCTGATCCACACCATGAATATCATAACATTTGCCACTTCAATTTAAAACCAAACCTAATAGTTCTTCTGATTCTTTTGATCTTATAATCAGGAACTTATATGGAACAAGATCTCAGCAGAAGCAATTGTCATGGCTCCATCAATGACAGTTTATAACTCATCTGCCAATCTGACCATCTTTAATCCATCATTATAGTCTGAGACATTTGCCTCGTAGAGATTTTTTATTACCTTTGTCTTCTTTTTACAACTAAATGTAAAATAAACTATTTTTAGTTAACATCATTAATGTTTAGTTAACATAATTTATGTAACTCACCTCCCCAAACCTGTCAAGTTCCCAGGTACTCTTATGATTCCTTGATGAGTAGGTTGTCAGCACATATACCATGATAGCATGCTAGTAGTGCCAATGTGTATTTTCCTATTACTATTTATTTTTTGGGCTATAGCATTTTTTTCCCAGCCCGAACCAGGATCAAAGATCTCTCAGCCTAGGTAACAATCTGATCTAAAGTGCATACAGTTTAAGAAGTGCAATAATTGGTGGAATGTTGCTCATATGAATTGCAGCATTAGCCATCTGCAGCGTGGTAACAATTAACTCCAGAAAACAAGTCTGGGTGTAGACTTAAATTTCCTATGTTAAACAGAAAATGTGGGAGCTAGACAGGGTTGAGGCAGCATCAGAGAACAGATGCTTTCTGATAGCTGGCTACGGTTCTGATTCAGAAACATATTTAAACACAAACATATGTTTAAAGGTCTCACTGCACAGAGATGTATGTAAAGCTGTACTTAGAGCTAAACATGGGCTGAAGTGTTCTGCCAAACTGTGTGTCTATGAACAGGACCTCTTCCATGGTCACATTCTTCAGGACTTCTCTAGTGACTGGTGCTGAAATATTGTCTGTTTTGATTATCTGTCCATTATGTCTCAGTATGGGAAAGTCCATCAAATATTTTGATTTTGTGATACTGTGATTGTGTTACTATATTTGCTTAAGACAGACAATGCCTGATTCTGATTCTGTCAGTAAACTAATATAGAAGCCACCTTAGACAAAAGACTATTAAGGGGATTTGTTTCTCCTTTCAAACTGCCCTTTACCTGTGAAACAATTGTGCCTACTGTACCAGCTTCAACAAATTCAAAATTGAA